CGACACTGGTGCCCATCCACCATTACGGCACCGTCCATACCGCCTGTCGCCTGCTGAACGTCGGGAAATTATCGAGCAGGTTGACGATATGCTCAGACGCGACGTTACTCGGCCCTCGGACAGTCCATGGGCGTCTTCTGTTGTTCTTGTTGCGAAGAAAGATGGTTCTGTGCGGTTCTGTGTGGACTACAGACGGCTCAATAAGATCACTCGCGAGGATGTTTACCCACTGCCGCGCAACGATGACGCAATCGACAGCCTTCACGGAGCCGAATTTTTTTCTTCTCTCGATCTGCACTCGGGGTACTGGCAAGTACCCATGGCTGATGACGCTCGACCGAAGACTGCGTTCATCACACCCGACGGCTTGTTCGAATTCAACGTCATGCTGTTTGGTCTATGTAATGCACCTGCGACCTTTGAGCGCATGATGGACACCGTTCTGCGCAACTTGAAATGGCACACATGCTTGTGTTACCTCGCTGACGTTGTTGTGTTCGCTCCAGATTTCTCCACGCATCTCCAACGTCTGAAACAAGTTTTCGCACGTGTGAGCAATGCCGGCTTGCAACTAAATCTAAAGTGCCGCTTTGCAGCACGGCAACTCACCATCCTAGGGTACATCATGTCCAAGGATGGCATTCTTCCTGACCCAGCCAAGCTTCAGACCGTGGCCGAATTCCTCAAACCTGCATCCGTCAAAGAACTGCGTAGTTTCGTGGGTCTGTGCTCATACTTCCGACACTTCATACGAAACTGCCACGATTATATCACCACTGACGAAGCTCCTTGGAAGTAACGGGCCCCTCAATTCGTGTTCGTCTGAGTGCGACGATGCGTTCGCAAAGCTCTGCCATTTGTTGACGTCTCCTCCCATTCTACGCCACTACGACCCTACGGCCCCGACGGAGGTGCACACGGACGCCAGCGGTGTAGGCCTCAACGTTGTCCTGGCGCAGCGCAAACCTGGATTCCCTGAATATGTCGTAGCATATGCAAGCCGTACGCTCACGACAGCAGAGACAAACTACATCGTCACAGAGAAAGAGTGCCTGGCGATCGTCTGGGTCCTTACAAAGTTTTGCCCTTATTTGTATGGTCGCCCATTCGATGTCGTCACCGACCATCATGCACTATGCTGGCTTTCATCATTGAAGGATCCCTCAGGCCATCTCGCCCATTGGGCTCTTCGCTTACAAGACTACGACATCCGCGTGCTGTACCGCAACGGACGCCAGCATGCTGACGCCGACGCCCTCTCGCGCTCTCCTCTGCCTGAAGGTGATGTGCTCTGCTCAGTATCCTCGGCTGCTGTTTCTGCCATTGATGTTGATATCATCGCTACCAAACAGCGAAAGGATAATTGGATCGGCCCGCTCATCGCCTTGCTCTCTGATCCATCCGCAACTCCATCCACGCGTGCCTTGCGTCGTTGAGCTCAGCATTTCGCCATCGGTGACGGCCTTCTACACCGACGCAATTACGACGCCGATGGCCGGCAGTGGTTACTCGTGATACCCCGCATTCTGCGGTTCGAGATATGTGAATCCTTTCATTCTGATCCGCAATGCGCACACTCTGTGGTATTCAAAACCTACCATCACATTCGGCAACGCTACTTCTGGCGCGGGATGTACTGCTATGTGCAGCAGTTCGTTCGCTTCTGCCTTGCTTGCCAAGGCCGCTAACCGTCAGCACACATGTCGCCAGCCAGTCTGCAACCGTCACCTTGCCGTGAGCGTCCGTTTGGGCGCATAGGTATCGATTTGTATAGACCACTTCCTCTGTTGTCGGCTGGTAACCGCTGGGTCATCGTCGCCGTAGATCATTTAACGCGATACGCCGAAACCGCCGTTATCCCTGCAGCTACTCCGCGTGATGTTGCGTCCTTCCTACTGCATCGATTCATACTGCGCCACGATCCACCTCACGAGCTTCTCAGCGATCGAGGCCGTGTCTTCTTGTCACAAGTCGTCGATGCCATTCTGACGGAGTGCCATTCTGTCCACCGCAAAACTACTGCTTACCACCCGCAGACGAATGGTCTCACCGAACACTTTAACCGCACCCTCGGCGACATGCTTTCGATGTACGTCGCCGCCAACCACACGAATTGGGATACTATACTGCCCTTCGTCACATACGCCTACAACACTGCCCCTCGGAGCACAACCGGGTTTCCACTTTTCTTCGTGCTGTACGGAAGGCACCCGTCACACTCTATCGACACAATACTCCTGTACACGCCGGATCCATCTGAGTGTGCACCTATTTCTGAGACAGCCAGGCTTGCTGAAGAGTGTCGAGAGCTTTCCAAGACTTTTACGACGCATGAGCTAGAGCGGCAGAAGAGTATTCATGATGGCTCCGCGACTTCTGAACCCACATTCCTTCCTGGTTCTCTTGTATGACTCTCAATCCTGACCTCTATAGCTGGCCTTTCTTCCAAACTACTTCCCAAATACGAAGCCCCCTACCGTGTCATCGAGCGCACATCTCCGGTCAACTATCTGATTGAACCAATTGAACAAACTTCGGACATGCGTCGTCGCGGGCGCAACATAGTCAGCGTGGAGCGCCTGAAGGCTTACTATGACCCACTCATAATGACAAACTGTTATGTTGCCAGGCGGCTCCCCCTTCGACCCCGGGGTAATTGTAGAGAATCTTCCGAACACTAAAATTGGTCGAACTCTCGGGTGCCTTCTAGTGGGTCTACCCAAAAAGGATGCCACTCGCGCGGTGAGCCCGTGCTTGGCCGTTACTGTCGCCATTGTGCATGCCCGCTGTGTGCCGGCTAATAAACGCCTTAACACTATGAAAGTCTTCTTAACTTGGTCATACTAATTGGCCACAACTGGGCTGTCCTTGGAGCACTTTGTGCGGGAAAGTGCCGTAAATGTCCCGACGCTAAGTAACAAAAACACCATTCAGGGACAGCCATAACGGACAGTCTTTCGGAAATGCATGGTCGCCATTCACAAAGGTCTTGATTGTGCATAATAAAGTATGAAATCAGAGTATTCCCTATTAATAGGGACACGGGGGTCTTGAGCAGTATTCACTGTGAATGAAGTCACGAATAGCAAGAGTTTTGTTGTTTGCGCTGTGTGTATGCAAGATTATTACTGGATTTATATATTCCTGAAGAGAATGAAAGTGCATTATGATGTAAAGGTCATATATTTATTTATTTCTTGATACTGTCGATAATTTGACATGCAGGTAACTCAGACAGTTTTTCCAGTCCCAAATAATTAGAATGAATGAGCACCTATTGTGCTATTACAATGCTTCAATAATGTCCCTTGGCTTTTTCAGAACCTGAAACGATTTTTTTTTTCTATGTGATTAGCGCATTATTCTTCCAACATGCGTGGGGCTGTGCATTCGTGTGATGTGTGCAACATGTTAACTCTTTCAGGGTCGAAGATGTACATTTGCATCATTTCCTGTATGTTTGAAATGCAGGCTTTTTTCGAATATTTCTCTTCCTTGGCTCTTACTGCCGCAATGCGGGAATATGTGGAATTTTTCCTCACGCCTATGTCCCTCTATATTGAATGCTTTAGTACAGCAGCACGATGGCTAGTGTAGATTTCGTTATTGTGCCCGCAAGACTGTTGGCTTTTTGGTTTAGAATTTTTTAAAAGGTAGACGTTTATTGCTCTTTGGTACACAATTATGCCTGTTTTTATGCAGGCGATGTCGCTGTGGTTGTGTTTTGGGGCTTAACAAAACTGCTTCCATCTTGTTGGCAATGAGAGGTTTCAGGCTTGATTTTGCTTCTACTGTACTTACCTGTGCAGTTACTATGGAAATGGGCGCCGATTTAGTTGCCGCAATAATGGCAATTCCGCCGAATAGCTGAATCTGATACAGTAAATGTCAGCTGTCATAAAAGGAGTTGCTTAAGACAAGGGTGCAATAGCTGCACCACTTGTGCCTATGTAATACAATTACCCATTTTTGCACCAAGCTGAGCCACAACCATGAAATTTGCTGATGTTGCACCATACTCTGCCAATATTCTGGACCAGCCTCAAAATATTTTGTTGCGCTAATTTCAGCAAGCAATCGAGGCTACATTGACTACCTGCAGTTTAGGCTATAGAGTTTCTTAAGGTTAATCTGAGTGGAATTGAGTGCTGAGATCGTTCAGCCACCGTGAGGATGATGGGTTGTAGTACACAGATTTTCCTAGTCTTTGTGCTTGGAGCTTTCAATGCACTTGTGGCTCTGTTTTGGTTTTGCTTCGAATAAAAGAATGGACCAATGTTAACTTCATGATCGTTTCAAATTGGAGGTCAAGGTGGCGAAGCATAACTGCTAAACCTTTGCTCAACTTATTTTTGCAACAAAGCACATTCGAGCTTGAAAGGGGGAAAGTCTCTCGCCCATCGTGGGGTGAACGGCTCTCGCTTAGAGGCTTCTTTCCCTGAGGAACCAGTTTGTCCTCGTGGCTGCGCTTCCATCTAGGAGAAAAAAGCATGGATGCGCTTTCTCTCCCGCAGTGTGTGTGCTCCTTCTTATGTGTTTCGTCTTTTTACGCTGGTAAATCTTTCTTGTACATGTGCTATGAGTGTTTTTCATGCATGCACACGGCTCCAGTTGGCTGTATTGTGTGATTTCAATAAATCAGTTCTTAGTCTGAATTCGTCCTGTCTGCTTTCACCCTATTGTCCCATTCTACGTGCAGTTTAAGTTTGAATAATACGTCTCGCCAAATAGCCGTACAACACATGCTTCTCGAGTTCATGCATGATTTATTCTACAAATTTTGTGGCAGTCTATTTGAGAGGCTTTTCTGATGAAGCCATTTGATGGTTACGTGGAAAAGTGCTGCAGGGTCTCTTGAAGCAATGGGAAAGCAGAGCTGTGCTGTGTGTTAATATGTTTGTTAAATTTCTTGATAATCGCTTGTTTTGCTGATGGCAGTGTCTTCCATTTATTTTATTTCCTGTTATCTTGTTGAGAAAACAGGGTGCCTTGCTCTGCAGGCATCAAGGGCACTTACCAGGGGCTCACAGCCACCATCATGAAGCAGGGCAGCAACCAGGCCATTCGCTTCTTCGTCATGGAGACGCTCAAGGACTGGTACCGGGGTGGGGATCCCACAAAGCCGGTCAACAAGCTGGTGGTGGGCATGTTCGGTGCTGTTGCCGGCGCTGCCTCTGTCTTTGGCAACACTCCCATCGATGTGGTCAAGACACGCATGCAGGTAAAGGGCATTCTTGTAGCTTTGGGAGTGTACACAGAAGTTATAGTGGACAGCAGTGGCTGGTTTTTCAAATATAGAATGTGATGGCTCTGGTTCAAGGTTAGAGTTAATGGCATGCATATGATAATGGAACATCAGTTTGCTTAAGGGCTTATTGTCAAGATAAATGAATTGAATTTATTGAGAGATTGTGAGCAGCACTGAGAGTGGATCAGGTGTCAGCCGTGTGCCTCTTTTTCTGTGGCCTCTAAGATTCACTTTAGCAGCAAGTAAAACGCAATAGCTGTTATGATTTTCAGGTTCCCCGTGAGATAAAGTATGGCCTCAGAAACCACTATATTCAAAATTGGAAGGTACTACCTGTCACGCTTAGTGAAAATAAAGCCTTTGTGATTTGTTTGTTGCCCAGAGCTGTGGCGTTGGTGCAGGCTCATGATCGGAGGTGCTTGCGTGCCATGCTTCCTGCAGTCTGATCATGTTGCCTAGGTGTTTTATGTGTTTGTGAATTGCCATCGTAATGTGCCATGCGGCCTACAAGAGCTGGAAGACTTGTGAGAAGTCCATGTGCACTTCGTATTTCTTTCAATTTTTTAACGGAAAACATTGCTGCCACAATCTTTCATTTTGGTGCTTTTTTAGGAATGTGCTTCTGGTCTATATTGCTGGTAATTTGAAGTTGCTGACAGGGCGGGCACCTGCTCAGGATTTTATGGCAATGTAATGATTTGCCCACTTGGTGGACGCAACTCTGCTCTTACCATGGCACAAGTCAATACAATTGAACCCACTTACAATCCCAAATATAACGATGTATCGGTTATAATGACGATAATTCGGTGCTCGTGCGATTTTTCTATGCTACTTTTTGAAACGAAGTCCACATACGGCAAATATTTTTTAAAGCCTTCTACATTTAAAACGAACACTTTCCATGCAGTCGCGATAAAAATGTGGCACAAACAAAGCAAACAAAGTGTTTAAAAAGGCATTCTAAAGCATGTGATAGGCACACGCGCAAGCGTGCCCCGATGCAGATTACTTGCGACGAATATATCACAGACCACAGCGAGCACTGCACGTAGATTTCGAACTCTCGAGTGAGGTCGCTCACTTTCCAGGCGCGTCTTCACCGGCAGAATGGAAACGAGTAAAAGATGGAAACGAGTAACGAGTAAAAGGCTTTCGCGCGGCAAAATTTTTTGACACCGTTCTCTGCATTTTGGCATCTACGACCGCCAATGATTAACCAACCATACCTTCGAACGCAAGAAGCCATATATGCAAGAAGCGATAACTTTTTGTCGCAAAGAAGTGGACTGCGATGCTCAGCTCTCCGATACCACTATGTGCTGCAAAAGGTCTCCCACCTTTCAGTAACGACAGAGACCAGTCGATTAGTGATAATGACTTCCGTGCGGTTGAAGCTGTGCCTGAATGGATAAGCATCAAAAAAGAGTGATGGCCAGGTGGCCAGTGGCAATACACGTGCAATTTCGACTCATTGCCGGCAACCTTGTCACTGTCATCTGCAGATATCTGCTCGACGGAGTGACAGCGGTACAAGCCCATCATGCTGCCATTCGCAAGTTTGCTGACACCGCGTCATGTGAGGCCGCTTGCGCGCATTGTTTGCAAAATTAGTTTTCGTTGTGCTAAACGAACAGGCTACTTACCGCGGTCGAGCGAACGACCCGGCATGCGACGGCTAGAGCAGAGTGAGTAACATGGTGCATGCAACTGGCCTGGGATTATTGGTTCGACATGGTGGTACCACGCTTCACTAGAATGGTGTAGTTCATTGCAAATGTGGTTTAATTTAATGAACTTTGTTTAACTCACAAAAGTGCCTAAGTTGTCAGTGCAGAAGTTGTTAGCACTTTTCGATAAATATACACACACGAAAAAAAAAAACAGTATGGCCGTGTCAGTGGTGACAAGGAACATGAAAAAAGACGAGAAAGGAGAAAAGAAAGAAGAAAAGAAAAGTGCATGTAATGAAAAGAAGAAAAGAAGAGGGAAGACGAAAAGGAGGGCACATCTGCACGCGAGATATGAAAGGTAAGTGCGTTATGGAGAATGTTGGTGAAGACGACCGAAAAAATGGTGGATGGTCGAGGCGGCCTGGGTCTTGCCCCAAGACTTCAACTCTTCGAGAGCCACCCAAGTTTGTACATCGGTGAGCTGCTTCTTCGTGGCTCTGGTCGTCCAGCTGGCGGGTGGTGCAGGGAGTGGTCCGGACAGAAAAGCGTCATGCCGCCGACCTCAAGCAAGCCCGGGCTCGCGGACTCCCATCTGTCATTTCGACGGCGCACAGACTAGAGGGGCATGGGACTTGCCTCCTTAGTCATCTACTGCTGGATTTCCTGGCTGCTGACAGCTTCGCTTTCGCCAGAATTGGTCTTGCCAACGATGTTGTATCGCTGCCTAATTGGTGAGGCCACACGCTGTTCTCAGCGAAGTTGTTTCACAGAGTTCAGCGGCAAACCATTTAGCCTTGGCGATCAGCATCGGGCCATCCACCGTAATGTTCTTCGCACACACTTCTAAAAACCAAGCATAGAGTGCCTTTTGTACATTCCCGTGCGCAGAAGCGCACACGTGACAGGCTCCTGACGTTTGCTACTCAAGCACAAATTCAGGCATTCGCCCAAATACATACGGTCGTGGTACGCTGTGCCGATCCCGCCGAATACCAGGGCTTCCGGCTGACCGGCGGTTCATGTCGTTGGCTGTCGCGGAGTCATATCCCAATGCTGCCATCCAGTTAGGATTGGGGTCTGACAGCATACCATCTTTGCTGCCAGTCGTTGCAGCTCGGGTCCGGCGGGCCTCGTCGTTGGTAGCTGACCACCACCACTGGGCTCGTTTAGCCCATCTTGCTGGGAGGAAGGTGCCTTGTTGAAGAGATATTTACAGAGGTTTATTTTACATTATTTACAACCGAGCTTTTCTCGCCACAAGATGAACATCTAGATGAAATGTCGTCCTACATAGTGACAATCTCGTCGAAAGCTCTACATCAAGAAGGTATCAGCATCAAAGGACTGTCTCGAACAGCTCTGCATCGAAGAATCACTGCAGCGAAAAATCACACGAAGCAGCTTGCGAGGGCCAATTTTAAACAGTCCCGTTTCGCCAGATCCTCGGAAGAGGGAAAGGGCACCAATTATACTGTCCAATCTTAAAACATATAACACTTTTTGGCGGAGCCGCCCACACCTGCTTACGTCAGTTTTCTTGACTGGAGGGAGGAGTCACCACGCTTCCACCACGGGGTCCACCACAAGTTCCCCTTGAGCGTACACTGTCGCTGGTGTGATCGGTCCGACACTTACGACAGCATATATCGAAAGGGCCACCCCAAACAAGCTCGAAAGGGGTCCAAACAGCTTGCTCAATGAGCGGGGTGATTCGCGGCGGCCGCCGCTGTCTTTTCCAAGGAGGGTGCTGAATTTGTCGTCGTCTCTGAACGGCACGGCGCCTCGCTTGAACAATACATGGCAAACATAGGCCACCAGCTGTTCGGCTACCTGTTTGAAGACCAAAAGAACACTGCTCCTCCATAAACTCGGGCGCCGTACCTAACACGACGCACTACATGCTCGACCCATGTCTATTTCCTCTTCTTGATTTCAACTATGATATCCTTAATGACGGTTTGTGCCTTGATCCCCTCGTCTCTCTTCTTATCTCTTAATGTTACGCCTATCATCTTCCTTCCATCGATCACTGAGTCGTACTCAATTTAAGCTGAACCCTCTTTGTAAGATGTCGCTTTATAGAAACCGCAGACCGCTGGTTAGCTGTACACCTTATACTTCCTTGCCCCCCAACCACCTAAAATAAAACAAATAGAAGAATTTATGGTGGCTGGCGCTATAGTCTTTCTTTTTCTTCGTGCCCCAGCTGCTGTCGTGATGGTTGTGACCGAAGCAAACAAATCCGTGAGCCGGTTTTTAAGAAAATATTGATGCCTTCCTGTGCAGCACATGAGTAGAAAGTACACAGGGGAGTGTACTCACCCGACTGATTTATTGAAAAATTTTTTGATGACAGTGACTGCTTCTAGAAGAGGGAAACAATCAGATGGATAGCTTAACTGCATCGTGGATGTTGGCAGAGATACCTTGACCTACTGAGGCCTTCAATGCGCAAGCTTACCTTCTTTACTTGCAGACATTTTTTGACAATGAAGAGAAAGCTACGGGAGTGGAGCTTTCTGCAAATGTGCTCCTACGCGAAGCAGTCCGGTTTGGCATGCAAACCCTATGGAAAGCGATGGTTGAGCGTAACCAGCGTTAATTTACATACAGACTTTGATGATGCTTACACGAAGAAGGCGGGTTTGTTTCATGCGTGGAAAAATGCAGTGACACAAGAGCACGCACAAAAATGCACAAGCGAACACACACGCACACAGACAGACGAGCACACTCACATACACACATATTTGCACACACTTACAAAAGAGCACACACGTGCAAGCACGTTCACTTGCTCACACACACATGTGCACACACACACATCTGCACGCACTCATGCATAAAAGAACACACGCATGCACTCGACCACGATGATGATGATGAGTAGTTTTTAATGGCGCAAGGGCCAATTGATGGCCAAAGAGCGCCATTTCAATTGACTACAGATATGAACAATGATATGATGCGTGGCTGTAAAGGGTCCTTAAAATTCCTCGCTCTAACGCGGGTTAAAACATGGAAGTAATAAAATCATGACAGTGGCGTGACATGTGTAATGATAGCAGATGGCAAAATGTCATGATAATAAAACCATGATGAAGATGTAGTCACCGCAGCCACGACCACTCTATAGAGGTTGTGCTACAAATGACCTCGAAATATCGGGTGAAAGCTATGCACATCTTTTAAAAACATGAAAAGTGTTTGCAGTTTAAAAAGCGGATCTCTACCGATGAGTATCCCAGGGTGCAGAGGGTGCTGCTGTCGGTAGGGCAGTAGAACGTGCTTTTTTCTTAG